CTCAAGCCAGAGCTACTGGAAGCTCTGACGGGAGATCCAGACTTTCTGCTTCAGCATTGCCATGCCAGTGGCATACTGTCCAACAATGAGTACAACAACATCAAAGATATGAACATGCGTTCAAGGCAGGTACGGGACATCTTGGATTATGTGATTCACAAAGACAACAAACATGCTCTGAATTTCCTGAAGCTGCTGAAAACACAAGACATGCAAGAGACATTTCCTAAACTACAGTTCCTCCAAAAGCTTCAAATCAACAAACGCAAGACACCAAAAAACACAGGTATGATCTTACACTCAGCCTTTGTAAAGCATCCATTATGTACCGGGAACTCCCCTAGAATTTTGGCATTATGACTTTTATGCATGTAATTCTCATTAGTGCAACTTTACATTTTTTAATGTTTATTCTCATTACTGTAATAGTAATTTCTACTGTCTTACAGTTCAGTAGTATATAAAAATACAGTTTTGAAATATTTTTTGAAAAGTAAAATCGTTTAACGTATTATTAATTATATGCAATAAATGCTACCATAATGTATAAATACTCAAAGAGAAAGATAATAAACTTTGTTACAGTAATGAGAATTGATCTGTCTTGCATTACAGCTTAATTGTCCTGAAAATCTGTAGAGCTGCTTTAAGTTGAATTTAAATTCTATTTAAATTCAATTTGTTTCATAATTGATTAATTTTACAACATAAACACTATGTTATTTTCCTGTTTTATTAATGTGAAGCTTCTTTGACACGTTCTGTATTGTAAAAAGCACTGTATAAATAATTGGGTTTCTGCTGATCTTAAAAAGTCTGAATTGGCCCTTCTACTAATTAGGGCCTAAAAAGGTCTTAAACTGGAGCAGAGAGTTTTAAAATCATAAAGGTTAAATTCATAAAGTCATGGCATTAAATGTTGCATGCAATGCAAAAAGTGAATGTCTTCCTCAGTATTTTGTCTGTACAAATATCTAAACATCAAATCAAGATACATTTACTTTAGACGCAAATTAAACATATTAAGTCTTGTTTTCTGAGAAATTGAACAAAATTAAGTGATCTTCTGTTTAAAACAAGAACAAATATCAATCAATAGGGGAATGAAAACTTGTTGTCCCAATTGAATTAAGTTGATTTTTCCAATCATATTTTTAAATTATGTAATGCCAATTATATTTGTTCTTGTATAGATCAAATCATAAACTCACTTAATTTTGATCTGTTTCTCATAAAACAAGACATGTAATTTTGCTCCTAGAGTAAAATTCTCTTGCTTTAAGAATCTTTAGACGTTTGCACTGGGAAACGACAAAAATACTGATGAAGAACATCACTTTTGTTTTTTTCTTTTTTTTTTTCAGTGTGATCAGAAGGTCCAGTAAACCAGTAAAAGTTATCTCCATATTCTACTAGTGTATGTTTTTTCTAGTGTACATTTTTTGTAAAATGACTAAATAATCCAGGTCTGTTGGAAGTTGTACTTTGAAAGCATTGCTAATAAAAGACATTTACATTTAGAGAACCTATTGATGTATTTTGTTCCATTCAATTTATTCCTAACTTGATCTTAAAAAGGTCTTGAAAGTCTTAAATTTACCATCATAAAACCTGCAGAAACCCTAAAATAAATATGACTTGAAAATAATGTCACAATGCAAAAAAAGATCCTAATAGTACACTTTTTTCTAATATGTATACATTATTTATTTCACTCCATTGCCTTCAAACTTTCTAGTACATGCAGTAATCTATTTGTAATTTGAAACTGATGTTGGTTTATCAGAGACGACTGCAAAAAGACGGCAGGAGATGTTGGAAAACAATGTATGGCAGGAGCAGCAGCGTATTATCAGTGAGTCACAAACACACCTCTGCTTTGCATCTTCTGTAGCAGCTTCGTGACCGCATTGCTGCATTACGTAACTTTGCTTTTTCTCAGGCACCAGGATGGTGAGCGAGAGGGAGATGATGATGGTGGCCGGCTGCATCGGGAACAGCTGGAGGGAGGTGGGCATTATGGCACTGGGTATGAACACCACCACTCTGCAGCAGATAGAAGAGGACAACAGCCAACACAAAATGCGGGTTTTCACCATGCTGCGAAAATGGAGCATACGTGAGAGGGAACAAGCCACGGCAGCTCGTCTCCATTCCCTACTAACCCAAGAGGAGAGCGGCATAGACACTCTGAAAATCAACTTCCTGTTGGAAAACAACTGAGGCTGCTAGGAGGACTTCAATAGGGTGATGCAGATGTGATGTCAAAACCTTCTCTATGGGTTTTTAATCATGGGGTTTTTAAAACTGTGGTAAACATAAATTGTCAATACTTGACACTTAAGCAGTTATGGGTATTTTTAAAAATGTATGTTTGTAATAAGTGACTACATAGGAATGTTTAGGGTGAGTGTGTGCAGTTTATATAGTAAAACAAAATGTCCATGTATCATTAAGTTGTGTTTTACCACAGATCTTATTTTACTCATTAATTTAAAAGGATAGTTCACCCTAAAATGAAAATTCTGTCATAATTTACTCCCCCTCCACTTGTTCCAAACCTGTAGGACTTTCTTTCTTCTGCTGAAGACAAAAATGGAATTTTGAAGAAAGTTGTAAACAAAACAGTTGATGGTAGCCATTGACTTCCATAGGTTTTTTTTTCCATACTATGGAAGTCAATGGCTACCGTCAACTGCTTGGTTACCAACATTCTTCAAAATATCTTTTTTTGTGGTCAACAGCTGAAAGAATTTCATATAGGTTTGGAACAACTTGAGGGTGAGTAAATGATGACAGAATTTTCATTTTTGGTTGATCTATCCCTTTAAAAACCCCATTATAATAACCCATATGAAAATCTCAAGGGAACACATGGTGAATTCATTCTTTTGGATTTTGAAGTTGTAGCTGCAGCACTTTCTATATATGTAGCACTTTGCATTCACAGACATGCAAACATACCACTAGGGTGAGCTATAACTGCTAGTCAGTTATATTAAAAATGTGTACTGTTTATTTGTCTTTTTTTTGTTTGTTTGTTTGTTTAGTAAAGGCTATGTATAAAGTCAGCTACAAGCGTGAAATAATAGGGAAACGTAATGCAACAAGCTATAATGCGGGTATTTCAAATATTTTTCTTAAACCTGATGTGCAAAAACTTTTTTATTTTTTTGCTTAATAGCAAATATGTCTACATAAATTGTAGTGCATAATTTTTTTTCAAAGGACTGAAACTATTAGACTAAAGTTTTGTTTTATTGCAATGTTTTTTTTTTGTTTTTTTATGGCATTATTACTTAACTGTTTTTTTGGTAAGCTTATTTTCCTGTAAGATCAAGTTCCATTCCTACTTTTTAGATTGCATTTCAGTTTGTGTTTGCTTTCTGAAATATAAGTTTCAGGTGAGCCTGAATTGTATGGTAGCGTTCCATTCTACAGAATAATACGTTTCCTTTTTTAAGTAAATGAATGTGAAAGCTTTTATCAAAGTCTTAAAACTTTAACCGATTCTATGAACAGATAAGGAAGACTGATGTTTATGACGGAAGTTCCAATAGAGACCGCTATCTGGCAATATAACGGCGACCTTCGCTCTCTCGGCAAGTATCACGTTGTTTCACCCTGATGCATTTTCACCCTGGTGTTTCACCCTTGTTCACCCTTGTTTTGCATGCCAAGCAGGTGATAGGATTGGAGGTGGAGCTTTGTACAATTCCATTACACAGGCCTGTCATTAAACTGTGTCTAGTCTTGCCAGATTTCATGGAATCTTTTGCTTTGGGTTTATTGCAATCTGATGTGGGAACAGTCATTTCAAATTGTTGTTATGGTACTCTGTACTTTTTTTGTAACTTTTCTATACTTCTTAATCATATTTCTGTTTTGTAAAAAAATTTATCATGCTTCTGTGATGGTTTATTTTTAAATACAAAAAATCAATATAAATAAAGAGAAATAAATCATTACTGTCATTTTCATTTTAAGGTTATTTTTTTATTGCTTTATAACTTGTTTTATTGTATAATTTAGATATTTGTCATATTTGCAGTATCGTGTTTATTGATTTATAGGCTAAAGCAATAAAAAGCTGGCTCCTGGAAAGCATAGTTTTTTGATGCTGAATCTCATCTCTTCAGAATCTCTGACATATAGGGTGGATTTCTTTTGTTCAGACAAAACATTTGAAAACTAGATGAAATTGTAAAATACAGAGAATTCATGAGACTGATACATAATTTGAAAATTTAATTTCCAATGCCTTTTTTATTTTTCCATGTGACTCTTTCAATGATGCCAGCAAAATGCCTTAACGTAAAATTTGCATGCAAATATTCACAAGTTACCTTTTTTCCATAGGAAACACTGTTTCTATAAGATAGCAGCTCCGCATTGGTCCAGACTCTAATTTTCTTTTCTTGAACCCTGTGACATTCCATTCCACTCTTGTGAGCGAGTGTGTGTGGGATCATTGAGCAATCTGACAAACATAGGTGGAAGGATATATCTTTCTTTCATCAGCAAACTCTAACAGTCTAATGTGAACTTAGAACAACGCTGCAGAGCTTGGAAGATGTTGAACGTTGTACCCCTGTTTTGCAGCATTCATTGCCTAAATGAACATGCGTGTGTCATTATATAGTATCTAAAGTTGTTGTATTGATTATTGTTATTGGTTGCTTGTGCGTGAGTCACAGTTTTAGCACAGTAAATGTATCTCCCCCCACTTATCAACTAAGATGCAGGACCCTGCAAATAAAACCGTACAATGGTTTTGCAGAAGGTAAGAAACCTGGAGATATATTCTCAGCATTAAGAAATTAAAACGCTGGAAATTGTTAATCAAATATGTACTTGACAGCCGCATGCGGCTGATAGCCCCATATCACCTGGGTCTTCAGAAAGTGTTTTTTTTTTAAGTTAAAGATTGATTTTTTGTTGGCACACCCATATCACTCTAATACAATTATAGGATGTCACTTGAATGACGAATCGGGCGTGTGCATATATGAAGGCTGGATCTTGCAATGAACCACTGAGGGTCTCGAGGCATCCTTAACACATCAGATACAGGAGAGTTTCAGTGCTGAGTACAGAGAGGACATTAAACCGCACGATGAGTTCATCTGAAGGTGAGAGGTTTGATTGTTTTGGATGCACGCATGAAGTTTCTCTTAAATGCACCAATTTCATAGTTTTGCTAAATCGTGCATTTCTGTGTGATGATGTAATACTGTAACTGTACGAGTTTAAACATTTAAAAGCAGGAATAAATTGCAGGTATGTGTGGGGTTGGCAGTGGACATTTTTTGAGTAGTCGATGAATGATACATTGTATAAAAACTATTGCATAAGTTGCAGGAATTGAAACGTGACGCCCCTCTCCGCTCTTTCATCGACCACAGTTGGATACTAAATAAAGAAATTAAACAGAGAAAGATTGCAATA